TCCGCACCCAGGAGACGATGGGGTCATGCAAGGTCAACCAGGAGATTCCCTAGGATCACCAGGAAATGAGGAGTCTGGATGAGTTTGAAGGAAACCCATTCCTGATGATTTGGAGTGACCAGCATGCCTATTGGTTTCACTGCTAGAGTAACTGGGCCTGAAGCTAGAAGCAAGTCATCTAGGCCCTTGGCTGGAATAGGTTTTTCCTCAGGCTGCACTAGAATATGGCATTTCTTGGCGAATTCCAAGTCCATGAAATGTGGGGAAGCTCCAGGATTAAGCAACCTCTCCCCACAGAAACCCCCCTTGAGGCAGGAGCAGCTGAACCAGAAAAGTGAAGTGGGGATGAACTGAGATTGGGTTTCCCCCTAAGACCACCAGAGAGGGTTATTTCCTGCTGCTGACTCCTTAGTGGGGCAAGTATTGACCTAGTGGCCGCTTTTACCACAATAGAGGCAGGGACCCTAATCTCAGAGCTGCTGCTTCTCAGTTGTTCTTAAATGATGCCACGTGTCATCTATTTGCAGAGGAGGTGGACTCCAGAGGAGGTGCTGCGCTGGAAGGGGCTGGAAGGGCCTTCGGAAAGGCATTTCGGAAAGGCACATCAGAAATAGAAGCTGGCATGGATTGAGGCAGCCCTGCAATTCCTTGCATTCTCCTGAGAAGCAGGCCAGGAAGTGTGGCGTGGCATGGGAGGCACAGCTGAGTTCCAAAGCGTCACCTCCTGCTGCAGGGCATGCACCTGGGCTCGCAGGGCTTGGGTCACGTTCCTCCTGTCAGTGACTGTGAGCGCCAGGTCGAGGTGCAAGGGGCCTCAGCAAACTGCCAGTGTCTGGGGTGTGGACAGCTGACTATCTGACATGGGCACCAGAACCCGGGCAGCTAGAGTAGAGAGCAAAGTCCAGTCCAAATTCCAACCAACAATCCAGGATCGGTGTCAGGAATAGAAGAACAAGATAAGTCCAGTCCAAGAGGCAAAAGTGTGGTCAAGCAAGCCAGGGGTCAGGAAACCAAGGAAGCAACACAGACAGGAATGGGCACCTGAGGGCTGGAGGGGGAGGAGGAGCGAGCCAGGGCCAGGAAACCAAGCAGGGGCCAGGAACAGGAGCAAGATCACAAACAGGGTCCAGGGCATTTTTCTCCCTCTTCCATAACACTTGAACCTGGGGCCATCCCTTGAAACTGACTAGTGGGAGGTTTTGGCCAGATAAAACTAAGCACTTCTTCAAACAGCATACAGTTAAACTATGGAATTCACCACCATGGGAAGTGGTGATGCCCACCAATCTCGATGGCTTTGAAAAGGGGCTGGCCAGATTCATGAGGGAGGAGGCTGTCAGTGGGTACTAGCCTTGCTTGCTGTGGGCTACCTCCTGCAGGTACATGCCCACCTACAATGGTTGCTGAGGAGCTTGGGCAGAAGGAGACTTTGCATCTATCTGCCTTGAGGGATTCTGTTGGCAGCTGGTTTGCCACTGACTGTATGGACTACTACACTGAATGGACCTTCAGTCCGATCCAGTATGGCTTTTCTTACATTCTTAAACATCAGAAGTGGTGTGTAAACTGGAGATCTCTCTGAAATGATTGACACACGAAATAGATCATTTTCCTGGGGACTAGAAAGCCAACTGCTCTGCTGGTGCAATTTTGAATAGTTCCTTTCTGTATGGCACCAGGAATATTCTGTGATATGGAATCAGGGTCCACTGAAATCATCCCAATCCTATTCCTTCTCTTCTGGACTGAGAACTGCACTCACTCCTGTATTTTGGAGTATTGGAGCCTTTTGACACCAACTGGGTTTCCTTTTACCTTTGCAATATCTGTTCCTGATGTGTAGCTAAGTGCCAGGATTTACTGCCTTCTGACATTAGCTGCTAGTTAAGCAGCTAAGATAAGCGTAACTCTGACTTTTTCAGAGGCTATATTATAGCCAACCCTCAGAAAAAGCAAAAAGTTGGGCAGAAGATTGAGTTTCCACTACAATCTGCTTAGAGTAGGCGATGAGATGAAATTAACCTTAGAGAATGCTGGAAGACAGTTAAGGACATGAATGAGAAGGGTCTGAAAAACATGATCCATAAAAGAGGAAGTAAACTAAGATGTGGCTGATAGGACAGGCAAGTTGTTGCAATGTATCCCTGATGTGTGTTACACGAGCCAGTCAGAAAAGGAAAGGGTGACAGAATGGTAGGGGATTAGGCTAGTTGTTGCTGCCCTCTGTACAGATTCTTCTGCTGCACATTCTTCTGTGGTGGGCATAGCTCAGACCTGAGATACTTGCAGGGAAGGCAAAGCTCAGAGGTCAGATAATCTAATGCTCTTTCCGTCATAATGATGGTGTGCTTGCCTGGCTTGTCTGCTTCAAAAAACCTCAACCTGGTGTGCCACAGACACATTCTAGTGGCAAGATCATCACCACCACCGTCCCTTTGAAAAACCACCCCACTGCTCTCTTCTGCCCTCTGTCTCTATTGTAGAAGAGTGAAGTAAGTGCACCATTTCTGATCTGAGTACAAGAAAATAATCACCTTTGTTTTCAAAAGTGATTATTTTCTTATACTCAGGTCAGAAATGGGATTATCAACATATAGTAACACAGGCTTATTTGTTATTTTATTCGTGCGCAGGGCCATTTTGTTAACAATATGATTGGCTCAGGCTGACTGGAGTTCAGATTCTGTGATGTCTGAGACTTAAATGTGCTTTATACACCAGACATGCTGCTGAAGATGGGTAGACTCATTGATTTGAACACATACGTTGTTCTGTTGATTTTATCTTCTTTTTTACATCACTGTATCATTCTTCTGAGAATACAATATTCATATACTACTCTGATGACCTCACTGTTGCAGAGTAGCATACAGAATAGCTTGCACCTGTGCTTTTGCTGGAAAATGGTTTAAGGGGAAGGAACTATTTGTTCATTGTTTACTTTTTATATGTATACATCACTTTTCTGTATAAAATAAACACAGAATGACTTCTAGCAAGTCGGGCAGGATTAGATAGCTGTGAAGGGACCTGACACCACATTACTTAGAACTACACAAGTGTTGCATAATATAGCACTGCTAGAAGTGATTAGCAAACTTCTGGGCACTGCCTTTGTCTGGATCTTCTGGGCACCTCAGGAATGTTGCCCCCACTTACTAAGAGATTTTACTAATCAACCTTAGCTGCACCCTCCATTGTAGAACAAGCAGGTACAAAAAGCAGCTTTTCTTAGATGACAGTATCAACTTTACCACAGAAAACTATGCAAATGCTGATTAATGTGGTAAGGTTCAATCATCTGAGCATCGAGCTCATGTGTATAACAAAGAACTTTGCATGCATGTATGTATGTGAGTGTAAATCAGGGTTGCAGAACCTAAAACCTAAGGGCCAAAATTTGCCCACCTGGGCTCCCCTGGATGGCCCCAACTGCCTTTCCTCCAACCCGCTCATTGTTGCGTGGTTTCCTGCTTTGTGTAGTTATTTGCCCAATGCAAAAAGTTGAAATGCTTTTCCTGACCTGGCAGCAAGATTTGGATTAAAATATGGCTGTATTTATTTTATGTTTTGCCTGAACTTGGAATGTATCTTGTAATTGAAAGGGGGTCTTCATTCCATCCCTTTTGTACATGTTCACACAGACGCACATTCCAGGTAAAAGGACGTAGCAGGTGAGAGATTTGGAGGCATCTGCTACTGAATGACAGAGCAAGGAAATAACAGCCACTTGCACACAAGCAAATAGGTAGCTGAATTCCCACCCCCAACCACACACGACCCTTGGAAATGTGGAATTGATTTGATTAAGCTGACACCCCTTGAAAATCCAGCCAGTCCCTTTAGTACTATCTCCACTATGGTAGTAGGTGAGCTGTGGTGTCTAATCTAGAAAAGCTGTTTGCTACTTACTTGGAATAACCTGATATTGCAGTTTGTCATGAAATATACAGACAAGGGTAACCTCTCTACGAGAAATGCAAGAGGATAATAAACTAATTGAATAGTGAAAAGTAATAGAATTGAACAATGGGATGTTCTGCACTGGTTTAACACTATTTATACTTCCCAGCTGGCCAGCATTATTTCCCAGACTCAGTGGAAAGGTGGCTTCTGGTCTCCTTCTCCCATTGCCAAAAAGGCAGGTGAGCACGTCAGAATTCTGTGTGAAAAGTTATGACTCGGGCTGGTCTACCCCGTTCTGGACGCGCTGAAAACCACCCAGTGCTTTCAAATTATCACCATTAATTTGTAGGAAAGACGTCTGGAGGGAACTTTCCACTACTCTTAACGGTGAGATATTTATCGTCACCTTTAAAAAAGAGATATACTTACTCGAAATTTATATTAAATTTTAAGAATTGCTGGTGCCTCTGCTCCTTCCATCTCTTTCAAGTTGTGTGGTGCGAATTATTGGAAGTGGGGACCCTATTTATTGTAGATCTAGCTATTAAATAACCTTGAGATTCAGTGAAAGAACTGTTGATGCCTTTTCTAGCAAAGCCAAACTGTTATCCATCTTGCTCACCTTCTCTGACTTAAAAAACAGTTTTTTGTTTATGTATAATTTCAGCGCCAATATATCAAGACACAACAAGCATCTCACACAGTTAAAATGCTCACGTGTAACTGGGAGGAAAACCAAACGGAGATTAATGTTAGGGGCGGGAGAGACTCGTCCTGAAGAAAGGAGGGAGAGAAGAGAGATACTGGCTACTCTCCCGCAAGCAGTTTTGGAAAGAACAGGAACCCGAATCGCTTCTTCCTCTCCACCCCACCCCCGGTTTGCAACGTGTTGCGGTTCCTCTTGGTGCAGATCCAGCTGCCAAACCGCTAAAAAGTTCGCCTCCACTTTGGAAGTCTTAAGCTCCTCTCCCCCACCCCCCCACCCCCAAATCCGCCCTCCTTTCCCTTCCGCCCACAACTGGCTGGGAAGCCTCTGGGGTTCGTGACGCAGCGTCTGAATTCTTAGGAGCCAGGGAGGGGCTTTGGGGGTCATTCTTCTCTTCCATTTCACTGTCTCCTTCTCTCCCATCACCTCCCCAGCAAGAGGTTTAGCGAGGGAAAAGGCCGTTGAGCAGGCGGAGGACAGCGAGGGAGCGTAGAGACCCCAGGAAAGACAAGACTCGAACTACACCGTCCTCGTTCGCGCACTATGAAACTTCCGAGCCGCCCTTCCTCGCCACGGCCTCGTCTGCTAGGATGTGCGTTAGGCATGCTGCTGACCATTGAGGTCGGGGTCTGCGCTTTGCTCCCAGGTAGGCTGCTTAAGAAGGGGGGTGTCGGTGGGGAAAGGAGCTGCTTGTGCAACACTCAGTTGAGGTGGGGAGGGGGCATTCTGCCTCCTCTACTTTTGCTGGATTCCTTTCCCTTTTTTCCTTGTTGGACAGTGATGGGGGTGTGCTTGAGTTTTGCAAAGGAAGGAGAGACCTGAATGAAACCAGATGTGGTTTGGAATGGTTGGAGGATGGAAGGCTGGCTGGCGAGATTAATTAGATCTTTTAAAAGCTTGCTTCTCTTCCACTTCTCTTGCAACAAAATCAACAGCAAAATTTACTTTCTATAACTTCAAGAGCCGCTTTCCAGATTGTTCTAGCTGAGTTTGAAGAAATGTCCAAGGGAAGAGACACTCTTGCTTTCTGTTTTCTATGTTTGGGAATCTGACTTCCTCATCAACTGTATCCTGCTTTGCTACCCTGAAGAATTTTCAGATGTGTCCAGCCATCATGAAAACTCCACATGCCATCATATGCCAGCAGCTCTTTCAAGGCAAATCGGTTTTCCCAAACACGCACACTCATAAAAGCGCCTCTTGTTGCTTGTTGATGGTAGAGGTCTGGCTGATGTGACTTTGATAGAGGTGAAGCTAATGAGAGAAACGTATTGGTCCCAAAGGCTTTTGTCAGTTGCATAATACGTAGACTTCTAGCACAGTTGCACTGAACAACTTCTTTTTCAC